AAAAAGAGGGTGAGGAGAAGGAGGAGGAGGAGGAGGAGGAGGAGAAGGAGGACGTTGAGGAGGAGGAGGAGGAGAAGGAGGACGCGAAGGGCCATCCTGACCTTTCGCAGACTTCCTTTTTCTGCCTTTGGGATTCGGGGCGGCCAGCGTGAGGCGGCGGGCAGCCGCTGGCAGCCTCCGCCCCCGAGCCGCCGCGAAACGCCCCATCTGCCCAGCAGCCGACGCAGCCGCCGCCCGCCTCGGCGGCCCAGCCGTTGCCGCCGCCGCCCGCCTCGGCGGCGCAGCCGACGCCGTCGCCCGCCACGGCGGCGCAGCCGACGCCGCCGCCCGCCACGGCGGCGCAGCCGACGCCGCCGCCCGCCCCAGCGGCGCAGCCGACGCCGCCGCCGCCCGCCCCAGCGGCCCAGCCGACGCCTTCGCCGCCCGCATCGGCGCGCAGCCGTCGCCGCCAGCCGCCGTGGCGGCGCCGCCGCCCGCCGCTGCGGCGCAGCCGCCGCCGCCGCCGCAGCCCAGCCCGGCGGCGCCCGCCGACGCCTTCGACGCCCGCCCAGGCGGCGCAGCCGACGCTGTCGCCCGCCACGGCGGCGCAGCCGACGCCGCCGCCCGCCACGGCGGCCCAGCCGACGCCGCCGACGCCCGCCCCAGCGGCCCAGCCGACGCCTTCGCCGCCCGCATCGGCGGCGCAGCCTTCGCCGCCAGCCGCCGTGGCGGCGCCGCCGCCCGCCACGGCGGCGCAGCCGCCGCCTCCGCCGCGGCAGCCCAGCCCGGCGGCGCCGCCGACGCCTTCGACGCCCGCCCCGGCGGCGCAGCCGACGCCTCCAGCCGCCGTGGCGGCGCCGCCGCCCGCCACGGCGGCGCAGCCGACGCCGCCGCCGCAGCCCGGCCCTGCGCCGCCGACGTCGGCCCCTGCGAGTTGACGCGCGGCTCCGGCGGCCGCGGCGGCGGCCGCCCCAGGCCCTTCGGAGGTCCTTCGGAGGCCCTCGGGGCCGGCGCGGCCCGGCAGCGATTGGGGCGCGCGCCGCGCGCCGTCTCACACTGCAGCCCTTGTGCCCTTGCCCCCCTCGGCCCTGGTGGCTCGTCGATGCATCGGCGCCTCGGCGTGATCCCCCGATCAATTTTTTGTATTCAGGCGGGTCCCATCTAATTATCGAAGAATAAGCAATGCTATAAACATAATCTTTTGGCGCTCCGCGCGGCTTGCATGCATCTACGCTGCGCTCCACTGGCGGCGCCTCCGGCGACGCCCCTGGCGCGCTCCGCGCGCCGTGGATGGGGCGTTTTGGCCCGGCGCGGAGCCAAGAAATCCGCGCGGACCCTCCAAAGTTTATGTTTACCTAGTTGTTTGTTCATCCAGTGTGGGAAGCCAGTGCTCGACGGGGCTGACGGTTCAGGCTTGCCGTCGACCATGTCCCAAGGCTGGCAGTTCCGTCGGGCTCTGGGTTGTCGCCAGGAAATTTCAGGGCTCTGGAAGAGGAGCAGCAGCAGATGTAGGAGCACCCGGAGCAGGAGCCAGAGGAGGAGGAGGAAGAGGAGGAGGAAGACGCAGGAGGGGGACGAGGAAGGTGAGGAGATCCGTCGGGGCTCTCTTGGCCAGGCACGCCTAGAACAAAGCCAAGTCACTCCAGATCCTTCTTGCTTTGCTCTCGCGGCGCTCTGGAGAGCTTTGGATCGACCGCGGCGTTCGATGCGTCATCCAGACCCGCGGCCGCCAAAACACGGGGCCGTTTGCGCCGACATTGTCGCGTAAGCTGCCCGCGTAAGGTCGCAAGTAAGCACCCTCGTCTCCAAAGTGGTGTGCCGCGCGGGCGGCCCGCGTAACCCGCCGCGTAAGGTCGCTATGCCATTTCGCGTCAGACCCGTTTTTGGGCGTCGCTCATGTCTTCTATGCGTGAATTTCTCCTCCCTGCCGCCTTCTCACTTGGCCTTGCCCTTCCGGCCCCGCCGCTGCTGTGCATGTGCAGACTTTACGCTCTTCCGCGATGGCTCGTCCGCTGCGGGGCGGGCTTGGCGGCTCCACGCGCGCAGGCCGCCCGCGCTTACCGCGGCACCGGCCGCGCACCGGCCGCTCCCCGCCGAGTCTCACCTCCTCTTCTCAGTGTTGAATAAACACAGACAACGTATCGTCGAATCCCCACAAGGATAATATGGGAAACTATGGGGAGTGCAGGGGAGGACGAAGGTCCAGAACACACGTGCGACGAGGAAACAGGGTCGTCTGCGACGACATTGGCGCGTAAGCTTCCCGTGCAAGGTCGCGCTTAAGCGCCCTCGTCGCCAATGCAGCGTGCCGCGCTGGCGGCCCACGTAAGCCACCGCATAAGGTTGCTGTGCCATCCCGCGTAGGACCCGTTCCTTATCCGTCGTTCCCGAGGGACACTCTTTTGGGGACCCTGGGACTCGTTTGTGTTTCTTTGTTTGCCCCTGGGCCCCTTCGCTCCTCCCCTGCCGCAGCATGCGGGCGCCTGCCACCACCACGGCCCCATGCACGCCTGGCCAGGGCCGGCCCGGGCCCTAGGGTCTGACATAGTCAAACCTAACCCTAGGGCGAGGGAAGAGGGGAGGGGGAGGAGGGGAGGGAGAGGGGGTGTAGGGCGGGGCGGGGGAGGAGGGGGGGGTGTAAAGAGAGTCTGCGGCGTGCAGCCGGCTTTGCGGCCCCGTCGCCAGGCGGGTTCCTCCACATTTCGACGTTTTTGGCGCTGGGAGGCGCACGGGCGAGCTATATCAATATATGTAAATTTCTGTATAGTTATGTGTATATATATATATATGCTTGTGTATATACAGGTATATGTACATGTACGTGTATATGCTTGTGTATATGTATATGTGTATGTATATGCATATGTATACGTATATGGATGGTTATATTTATGTGTGTACGTATATGCATATGTGTATGTATCTGGACGTGCATCTGTATATGTACATGTACATGCATATATACACATATATAAAAAATTATGCATATGTATATGTATAGGTGTATGCATATGTATGTGTATATGTATATTCAGATGCATGTGCATATGTATATGTGTGTATATATAATTTTATGAACATGTTTATGTATATGTATATGTATACGGGTATGTATATGTACATGGGTATGTACATGTGTATGTATATGTATACGAACATGTATATGTATATGAATATGTGCATGTATATGTATATGTATATGTATATGCATATGTATATGTATATGCATATGTATAGGTGTATGCATTTGTATGTGTATTTGGATTTGTATTTGTATATGTATAGGTATATGTATATGTATAGGTACGCGTATCTATCTATCAATCTCTCTCTCTATATATGTGTGTGTATACAAATACGCCAGGCCCCCTCCCGGGACGTCCTCCACCTCGCTCACATCTCGTGTACGTTCCCGGTGCCGCGCTTCCCGGCCTGGGGAGCCCCCACAATGCCCAAAGACAGCCCAAGACGATCCCAAGAAGCACCCACAACGTAAAAGAATTGCACAAGACGCTCCCAAGCAACCCAGGATAGCTTCCGGGCGGCTCTCCAGGCTCCCAGGAGGCCTCCAAGAGACCTCAAGAGAGCTCCGAGAGGGCTCCCGAGAGCGCCCGGAGAACCTAAAATCGTTATTTGTCATATTTTTCACCAGGTTGTTGGCCAAGACCGCCCGCAGACTGCCCAAGAGGCCCCCAAGACGGTCCCAAGACGGGCCAAGACAGCCCCAAGACTGCCGAAGAGGCGCCGAGGACAGCTCCAGACCACCCCATAACAAGCCCAAGATAAGCCCAAGAGCGGGAGCAGGAGGTCTCCAGAGACCTGTGAGAGGACTCCGGGACCCCCCAGAGGCCTCCAACACACCCCAGACCACTCAGAGGCTGCCCAAGAATCCCCGACGAGGCCCCCAAAACAGCCCAAGAGAACTTCGAGAGCCGTCCCGAGAGAGCCTGAAGAGGGTAAACACGTAATTCGATTTTCACTGTTTTTTGTCGACGTTGTTTCGCCTTCTCACGTTTTCCCGCTTCCAACGCTCCAAGACCGAGGATTTTTTCAAACTTCTTGAATTCCAGAGATTCTTGTTCAAGTTGGGACTCCTACTTCCTATCCTCTTCCTCGAGCCCCACCAAGACCTCGGGATCACATGCAAAGATGTTTCGGGAATGCTCTTGAACTCTCTGACGCTGTCTTGGCACTCTCTTGGATCGTCGTCGTGTCCTCTTGGCTGCCTCTGAAATCATTGTAGAAGTCGAGATCCCATGATCCCACGAGTTGAAGCAGTGGAATTTTGAGCTCCTTTTTTCAAACTCACCCCCTTCTTTTTTGCACGAAGACCCCGAGAGGCACCCCAACAGACCGTGGCCTGCATGTAGAAAACGTCTACCCCACAGCCCATGCTTTGCAACTTGAAGACAGAAATCCCACCTTTCCGTTTTTCCAAGTTCGCCCCCTTGTGTACACTTGCACAACAGACCACAATTAAGACCCCAGAAAAGAACCCAGGAAGCTTTCGAGGGCACCAAGTCGTTGAATACCTAACGGCAATTCATGATTTTTCGTTTCCGCTGTTCCCCTTCTATACGATTCGGAGGCTTGCGCAAGGCCTCCAAGAGCGTCCCTGGATGCAAGACACGACAAGGATGATATTCAATGTCGTCGCCCATCAATCCTAGCTAGAACTTGAGTGCGCGCGATTGTCCCAGTAGACATATATATAGAGATGTATGTATAGATATGTGAAAGTCTGTGTATCTATGTGCATATAAATATACACATATACCTATCTATATACATATATCCATATCCATATCCATATCCATATCCATATCCGCGGCCTCGCGTGCTGGGCCCCTGGGCCGCGACCCCGCGAATGCGGGGCGTTGTATCCCAGATGCCCCGCGCGGATCGTGTCCGTGCGACCGCGTGTCCGCGGGATCGCGCTCTGGAGTGCAGACCGCGAGGGCGCGGATATACGATGGTGTGCAGAGCCTGCTGGGCGTACACGCACCTTGCCTGGGCCCAGGATGGCCCCGACCATGGCGTTGGTGTGCATAGCCAGGTCCCCGACGTCGTGAGTCTCACAACTTGGACCTTCAAAGATCTTGACTCGACTCATTTCCTAGGACTGTTTTGTCATCGTTTTCTTATTCACTGTTTTGCCGATCTGCGCGGGCCCTCTCAACCCCCCTTCTCCCCGCCCCATGGACTGGATCTTGGTTGTTTTTGTGGCGTCTGTTTCGAGCAGGTGGAGCCTCCCCCGTAGGACGCACTGCTGCAAACTGTCGCACTAAGCAGAGGTCCGGAGCCAGACCCCCCCGCCCCCCCTCTCCACTTCCGCCCAATGTCGAAACGCCGAAAAAGAAACGCTCACTTTTTCTCCCGAGGTATTTTTTGCCGCCTTGGGGGCCAGTGAGGGCTTCCATGCCCAGAATACCGAAAAACAGTCGTTGTGTTTCTTTCCACGACGCGAGGGGACCTGTGCAGATGCCTCATTTGGTGGGTTCGGGTCGTGTCGACGCCGCGGCGACGCCGGAGCAGTAGTTCAGAGTTAAAGGCCGCGGGCGGGGTGAACTCCGCCAGTGTGGAACGACCTCGGCTGCCAGAAGGCCACGATCGTCCATGGCCGAATGATCCACGTGGTGTCGGTTGGGGGGCGTCGAACAGGGGGTTGAGGCCCTGAGGAGGAGGAGGAGGAGAAGGAGAAAGGGGAGGAGGAGGAGGAAGAGGAGGACGAGAAGGAAGAGAAGGAGGAGGAGTGGCCTGTGGGGGGGGGATATCCTGGCCAGGGCCCTGACAAGACTTCGCGCTGGCCCCCCCTTTGCCTCTGCCGGTGCGTCCCCTATGCCCACCCTTCGTCCGCGCACGTGCCTCGGGCCACGAGGCTCTCGCTCCCACAATCCCACGGCATGCGAGGATTGTGATGTTCCGCCCACTTTGCTCTGGAGTTGGGCCTGTCCCTCTACAGGGGGGGAATCTCCAAAAATAGTCAAAGAGTAGCGTGGGGACTATTTCTCGATTATGTACCTGACTTTCGTCTCGACCACCAGCAAGAATCTCGAGCACCACGAAAGCGCCGAACTGGAGGGTCTTCACGCGTCGGGCCCCGGGAGGCGATACTCGTTCGGCGTTTCGATCTTTTTCTGGGTGCTCGAGGTTCTCTCTGGGATGTGGTCCCTATGTGCGATGGGAACGACATTGTGCGAGGATGTCATTTTCGACCCGTGAGGTCCCCGTCGAGATAGATTTTCGCGCTGGATCCATCTTCGATTGTCCCAGGATCCGAAACAAGGGATCCATAGAGGCCGAAATCTAGGATTCCCGGACTGGCAGAATCACATCGTCGGAGATCTGGCCCCCAGTCCTGGTCCCGCCTCATCGGCGCCTCCGCAAGGGCCGCCCACGGCTCGATGAGCCTTGGGACGTGTGTTAGCCCAACGCGTATTTGCGCCGCTCCGCTTAGCTTCACCCATGGCACGCAGCCCGTGTCCGCTGTCGTGGCACCGCCTGCGACATATGGAAGAGCTGCGGTGGACGGGCACACGCCGGCGCTAACACACCCAGACACGCGATGCCTTTTTGGAAGACGATCAGTGGAGAGGAAACATTATGCGAAATAATTTCCAGATGTCTTAAACATGATTTAAGCATGCCTTACATACTTAAGTAAAAACATGTTTCAACATTGTCAGCACATCTCTCAAACATTTTAAGCTCAATTCTAATTCAATGATCGGATTGTTAGGGTGTCCATGGTTATAGCATCCACAACGATGCCCTGACGGTTTCAACACGAGGCCTGCGGATGCCCCGACCTTTTTCGCCAGGACTTCAGTCGGGCGTGTCCCTCTACAGGAGGAATATTCCAAAACAGTGAGAAATAGTCTGGGGACGATTTTTAAAAGTCTGTTCGAGCAATCTTGGAGTCTGTTTGACATCTGCCTGCAGGAGGACACGCCCGACCTAGCCCAGGGCCCGCGCCGTCTCCCGAGGCGTCTCTGGACGACCCGGGGCCCGGCGCGGGCCCCACCCTGCACTGCGGCCGGAAGAGGCTGCTGCGGTCACCGCCCCGGCACACAGGCTCGGGCGGGGGTGTGGGCGCGAGTGAAATGGAGGGGGCGATGTGGGCGCGAAGTAAACGGCGGGGGAATGAAGCGTGCTCTTTGCGTGCCCCAAAGGTAAGTCGTGCAGGTCCCTCTACATGAGGAGTACTCAGAACTAGTAAAAACATAAACGTAGGGGGACGATTTCCCTTATTTTTGATATTTCTTTGAAGATTGTTTGAACATTTAACTTTTCGTCCAAAAGCCGCCTGTACGAGGACATGCCCGACCTAATCCTGAAGGCCCCCTCTTGGGCCCGAAAGTGCTCCTTTCAAGGGGCCCTCCAGGGCTCCTCTTTGGCAGCCCTCGCTGCCCCCCCCGATGTATTGCCCCTCCGTTCAGCGCGGTCCAAGGGTTAGGTCGGGCATGTCCCCCTACAGGCGGATGTCGGAGGAGAAATTCAAAAATAGTAAACACAAGGTTCAAGATGGTGAAAAGTAGTAGAGGAATCGCCCCCAGACCATTTTTGGACCATTTTTGAATGCTCCTTCTGTGGAGGGACACGCCCGACTTAATCCAAGGGGTGCAGAGTGGAGGGTGCAGGCGAGCGCGCGGCCCGCCCGCTCAGCAGCACGGCCTGCCCCGCCGACCCCGGGGAGAGGACGGGGCGTCGTTGGTGAGAGGCCTCCGCGGGCGCTCTGCGGCCCCATAATGGTGAGAGGGGGCAGCGGCGCCCAGCCCCAAAGCCCGAGGATGGCACAACTCCTCCTCCTCCTCCTCCTCCTCCTCCTCCCCCTCCTCCTCCTCCCCCTCTCCTCCTCTCCTCCTGCTCCTCCTCCTGCTCCTCCTGCATCCTCCTCCTCCTCCTCCTCCTCCTCCTCCTCCTCCTCACCTCCTCCTCCTCCTCCTCCTCCTCCTCCTCCTCCTCCTCCTCCTCCTCCTCCTCCTCCTCCCTGTGAGGGCCATCGAGCGGCACGGCCCGCCCTCGCCACCCCGCCCCCAGGCCCCCTCTTTTGAGGGAGTGGGGCGCGGCCCTGGACCTCGCTCTCCGTGTGTGCGCGCCGCCCGCGCTCCCGCGGGGAGAGAGAAAGGGCGGCCGCGGCGCTGCCCCCCCCTCCTCCTCCTCCTCTCCTCCTCCTCCTCCCTCCTCCTCCTCCTCCTCCTCCTCCTCTCCGCTCCCCCGGTCCTCCTCCTTCTCCTCCTCCTCATCCTCCTCCTCCTCCTCCTCCTCCTCCTCCTCCTCTTTCTCCTCATCAATGGTTCCTTACAAAATGGTCCTTAGTGAGGGTGCTTTACGCAGTGCTCGTAGGAAAAAAGGATTGAATCCCCACTGGGGATCCCTTACGAAGGATCTCTTACTAATGTTTCTGCACGCGTGTTTACGTAGTCGTGATCCAGCAGGCAGGATTCTTCATACAGGAATTATGACGGAGTTTGTTTTCCCCAGGAGTCCAATTGGAATTTTATTGTGAGCGTTCTTTTTTTGGGTGTCTTGAACGACGGGTGCCATGCGACGGATTCCTTCGTTCAGGATTCCCTACTGAGGATATCGACTTACAGCATTTTAGCCGAGGCGTCCTTGGTGATAAGTCCTGGCGGAGGATTCCTTATTATAGATTCCTAAATCAGGGCTTCCTTATTTGGATTCCCTGGGAAGGGTTCCTGACCAAGGGTCCCGTCTGAAGGATTTCTGGTCATGGATTCCTGACGCAAGAATTCTTGCGAATGATGTCTTAGTCCAGATGTATTATGCACGGTTTTAATCCAGGAATATGTGTTCAGTGCTTGTTGGCAGAGATGATTTATTGACGGTTCCTTGCTAAGGGTTCTTGGCGACGGCTTCTTTATCCATTAAAATCTGTATATAGTTCTGGATGATTGATTACGGGTTCCGTACTAAGGATTCACACCTTACGGTTGGTTCTTCGCCCACGATGCCTTACTCAGGATTCCGTGCCATGGTCCCTCATTTTTTTTTTTCTTCGTCAGGGTTCGTTTACGCAGAAACTATATTACAATGGAATCATTAGTACAGGTTCTGTGCCATTGACTCCTTACATAAGGACTTTTTTTAGTGATTCCTTCAACAGGGCTCCTTATCAAGGTCTCCTCACTCGGACCTGAATAATTACTGGGTCTTTCCTCGGGATTCGTGGTTGAGGATTCTTTAGTAACTTTTCTTCATTCGGGATTCTTATCAAGTGCCGCAGGAAGAATTCCCGACAAGAGGGAAATCCTTTTAGATATCTCCTTCGAATATTATTATTCCGTCTTCCTCACCAAGAGTTCTTGGCAAATGGTTCCCCATTGCGGGTTGCCGATGAAGGGGTCCTTATTGAAAGGAATCCTTTCCAGGGGCTCCTTACCGAGGATTCTTTACTGAGGGCTCCTCACGGAGGATTTCTTCGGAGTGATTTCCTGGGAACGATATCTTCGGAACACAATCGCCCGTCATGCTGATGTACTAGTGATTTCCCGCTATAGATCCCACTCACGATGTTTTGTTGTTGTTTTCTTCTTGGGTTTCTTTTCTTAGGATTCCTCACTACGGGGTCCCTACCGTGGATTCATTACGCAGGGTGTCTTATCGAGGATACCTCATTCGGGAACCCTTGCCAGTTGGTTTCTTCTCACGGAGTCCTCAGTCAGGATTTCGACACAAGGGTCCTTGCGAATGATTTTTGGAGGGTTCCTTACTAAGGACCCCCTATTCATGGCTCATTAATGAAAATTCCTTACTGCCGATTCGTCAATTTGGGGTCTTTCCGCAAGGACCTTTATCAAGGATTGCTTATTTACCAATTGTTCTTTCGAGCGGGAGTCCTTATCACGGATTCCGTTCTAAGGTTTTTTTTACGGACTCGTTCGTTCGTCATTCAGGATTCGTTATTTTGGTTTCCGTATTTTGGATTCTTTATTCAGGGTTTCTCACCAGAAACCATTATTACATGTCCTTATTTCCTTGTTGTTGCTGTCCGATATCTGGAACCACAAAGCATTGTTGACCCCGCCTGCCCGGTAACCATTTCGTATTCTTATATTGAAGTACCTTTCTGGGGGTGCGCATTTCCCCCCCAAGGGAAAATGAGGTGCCACCACACCAAGCCCCGGGCCTCTGGTTTACAACAGCAGCGGCTCCCGCCTGATACGTGCTCACATTTCATTTCCAAGTTGCGTTTTCTTGCGGGACGTCCTCACAAATTATACAGGAATCGCGCTCTCGCGTTGGACTTCGTATTTGTTTCCAAACGCCGCGCCCTAAACACTCAGCAATCACGCTCTCGCTGTGGATATCCTCGCGATTAATCCGGGAATTGCTTTATTGTTCGAGACTTCTTCGAGTTCCTTGCAGGACGAAGCCTTCAGCAACCCGCCTGCTCGTCCTGGCCGCCCGGGCCCGCCTTTCCGACCCGACTGTGGGGTGTTTGCCCGATCTGTCCGCCTGGTTCTGCCGCGTGTTTTCTGCCACCAGCCACCCTTCCTGCTATTTTCCCTCGTGCCCCATTCCCCTTCCTCCCCATTGCCTCCCCCTTGTCCTCCCCCTTATCCTCCTCCTTGTCCTCCCCTTTGTCCCCCTTGTCCTCCCCCTTGTCCTCCCCCTTGTCCTCCCCCTTGTCCTGCCCCTTGTCCCCCTTCCTCCCCCTTGTCCTCCCCCCTTCCTCCCCCATTGCCCCGTCCTTCCATTCGTCCGCCTCTCCCCCTGCCTCGATGCCTGGACGAGGTACACGTTGCAGGCAGGGTGCGATCGAAGCCGAGGATTCGGGGTGCACGTGCTGAGCGGCACGCGAGCAGATCAGAGCGAGCAGTCTTGAACTGATTGCTGTTGTCGTTGTCGTTGTTGTTGCCGTCGTTGTCGTCGTTGTTGTTGTTGTTGTTGTTGTTGTTGTTGCCGCTGTTGTTTTTGTCGTCGCTGCTGTCGTTGTTGTTCTCGTCGTTGATGCCGTGGCTGTTTGTGTTGCCGTTGTTGGTGGTATTGTTGTTGATGCTTTTGTCGTTGGCGTTGAACTCTTTTTCTCAAAAGTGAATATGTTTGTCCCCCTGGTGACCGCTTTGTAGTTCTCTAATTGTTGTGGTCCTCCCGGGGCTCGCACTCTGTTGTTTACAATGGAAAGCTTGTGGTTACCAAGCAGTTCTCGCCCATGCCCCTCAGATTACACAAACAGCAACAATCACGGCTCCCGAATGATATGTTCTCACCATGTATGTTAATATCGCGCTCTCGTTCGGGATTTCCGCAGATTTGTTGCAGAAGCTGCGCTCTTGCGTGGTACTTCCTCACAATTGATTGCGGCCCCGTGCCCCCAACACTGATGAATCACGCTCTCGCTCTGGATTTCCAAGCGATTTACTTTGGAATCGCGCTTTTATGATGGGTTGACCCTTTAGCGACCCTCGCTCGACTTTGCCGTCTGGGTCCGCCCGCCTGACCACCTCGTTCGTGTCCGTCCGCCCAACACGCCCGTTTGGTTTTGCCGCTTGTGCTCCTGGTCCTAAATCTCTTCCTCTAAGTCTCCCACGTACTCAATCCTGCTCCCTCTCCCTTGTCTCTTCATTCTTTCTCATTCCCATGTTTCAGGGGCTGCGCCAACTACATGCGGCTGGTGGGGAAACTATGCCCCAAAGGGGTGTACGATCGAAGACACACAGGGGCGGGTAGCGAGGGTCTGGGATATACGTGTTGGAAAGCAAGCGAGCAGATACGAGCGGACAATCCTGACATGATTGTTGTTGCTTTTTTTGCTGTGGGTCGTTGTTGAGTTCTCATCAAGGAATAATTATATATGATCCCCCCTTCTGGTGACAACTGTATGTGTTCGATTGAAGTTCTTCCCTCGGGGCTCGCACCCTGTTTTTTATTTAATCGCTTCGCTCCATAATGTCGCACCGTGGTCGCCTGTCCGAGTGGTCGTTTGCAGTGTGGAGCTGCGGCGTCGGAAGCTGTGTAGTTGTCGATACATTTGTTAATGTTTTTTCATGGGGCTTCTACGTGTTTGCAGTTTTTTGACGGCTTTGGTGCCATCGTGGGGGCGTGTTACCCGTGGTATCCCGCTGTGGGGCCGTTCGAGCCGGGGGAAGAGACATCTTATGCGATATGGGAACCCTCGTGTCGGAGGGTGGCGGGCTTTGAATGCTAACATTGGCTCTGTTATCGTCCTGATGTCCTCTGGCGTTGCGGACACGGGCGTGAAGGAACACTTTCTTGTGGCGTTTCTCTTACCATCACTTTTCTAATTGGACCGGAGGAGGAGGAGGAGGAGGAGGAGGAGGAGGAGGAGGACGACGAGGAAGAGGAGGAGGAGGAAGAGGAGGAGGAGGAGGAAGGAAGAGGGGGATGAGGAGCGATGAGGAGCGCCTTTGTCGTCGTCGTCGTCGTCGTCGCCGCCGCCGCCGCCCGCCGCCGCCGCCCGCCGGCGTCGTCGTCGTCGTGGAGGGTCGAGGCTCGAGGCTGGAGGCCGAACGCGGGGGAGGAGGACCACCCCGACCCGCGTTTCCCACGTCGCGTCTGACTGGAGTCTTGGAGGCGTCCTGGTGGCCTCCTGAGGGTTTTTTGGAGGCCTCCAGAGGGCCTTTTGGAGGCCTCTTGAGGCCTCTCGAGGGCCTCTTGGGGGCCTCTTGGGGCCTTTTGAGGGCGTCTTGGGGCCTCCCGGGGGCCTCTAAGGGCCGAGAGCTCGAAATTCTGTTTCGTGCGCCCCCTCTTGGGGCGTTATTGAAGTGTTCTTGGGGCCCTCTTGGGCCGTCTTGGAGGCCTCTTGGGCCGTCTTGGAGCCGTCATGGGCCATCTTGGAGCCCTCTTGGGGGCCTCTTGGGCCCTCTTGGGGCGATCTTGGAGGCCTCTTGAGCCGTATAGGGGCGTCGGGGAACCGAAAAGGTTGAAACGCCCAAATCTGTCCAAAATCTATGGAAAAGCATTGTTTGTTTGCCTCTTGGGGCCCTCCTGGGGATGCACTTGGGGACCTCCTGGGAATATTGGAGGCCTCTTGGGTCATCTTGGAGACGTCTTGGGCCGCCTGGAGGCCATCTTGGGCGTCGTGGAGCGATCTTCGGGCGTCTC